TAGTAAACAATTATCAATTATTCCATCACTTCTTCGGATTATTTATTTTTAATCAATCTATATTCATGTGAAGTGTAGCTCATCTGCATTTTTCTTTCCCTGGAACCTAAATGTATATTATGAATTTGAATCCATCAGAAACTAAGTCAGTCAAAATCAAATTTAACTACATACGAAGTGAAAACGATTTGTATTTCGCAAATCAAAGTGATAGTTAAAGCAACCAAACTGTGTCAGAAATGTTCCCAAATTACTGGGTAAGGCTTTTATCAGCTCATCATCTGATCCAATAATTTTAATTGTGGCATTTCATTCGGCATGTCGCCGCACGACTTCTATGATACTCAAAGTCTCACATATATAATTTGAAAGGGGGGGTCTGGGGGGGCGGCGCCCCCTCAGCAGGTAGCTTTTGCTACTTGTTTAATTTCAAAGTTAATGGTTATGAACTTAAATTGATAAAATTGAAAACAAGCTGTATTGATGTTTTAGTGACAAGCAATTGTTTGAACACCCCAAATACTCTCAATTATACCCAGACAGATTTGAGTAGTTTCGTTGAGTCGAATTCATGAATTTTTTCCATCTTGTTCCAGGCTGCTATAACCTGCCAGATGATGAAGACCAGGTTAGATTCTATCCCAGGGAAGCTCGTTTGTCGAATGACAACATGACATGCATCAACGTCCCGTCACAAGTTCTTCTTATAGATGCACTCAACGATAGATTAGTGATTTTCTGTGCCAATGTCCACATTTATATTTATAGTTTGTCCATAGCAGATGAAGCGAATCTCAGTAAGTTTCATTTCTTATTTTTTTTTGTCCGAGTTTTTATTATTTGGAATTTTTATTTCTATCAATGAATCATATTTACGTTTTTGTGCACTTTGATTACAACATTTCTTCCAAGAAAAAACTTGGTCTTCTGTACTTTATTTTTTTTTCATCCAGAACAGCCTCCTGACTATGTAGTAAGGGAACAAAATTATACTTTTGGAAATAAGTTCAATTGAGAAAATTGCAAATCGACATAACTTTGTATTGATCTCTTGTGACACTGAAAATAAAACATCCTATCATTCTTCCTTTGCATTATGATATTCAACAAAAGCCCAAGAGCCCAAATCTAATGGGATGTTCTGTTATTTTGCAGGTAGTAGTGTGGAAGTAGCCCGTGTACAGACAATAGACATAACGTCTCTTTGTGTGCATCCTGCATGCGTAGTTTCTATCACGTTGACAGCTCTTCGCACAGAGCCTACTCGTAGGGACGTCTCGTCAAGGGATAGCTTTGTGCTCAATGTCAGTGGTCGCTTGCTGCTTGTCCATCAGCATGAATCAAATAATCAGGTTTGTTTCAAAATCGGAAAAATCTTTTTTTTTCTATCTCCAAAAACTGTGCAATCGAATTGAGTTGATTGCTTTTTAAATGACGAAAGGCCACTTGGAACGATTTTAAAAAAAGAGAATAACTGTATTATTCAACTGTAAGTGGTTGGTAAAAACTGTAAATTTACAAAGTTTTTTAAGGCTTTGAAAGGACTACGTGCAAAACGGGCCATTTGGGGCTCGGGGAGGATACCTTTGAGACTTGCTCTTTTCATTCACCTAACAAAGCCCCATCTTTCCTCAAAGTTTCAAGCCCCCCAAAAATTTTGGGGAGACGCGGCGGGGGGTCAAAGTTAAAAACCGGCAAAATTTTCGCGAATTTATTACTCGAAAACCAAGAAGTTTTGGAAAACGCGGTTTAAACGAGCGCATTCAGCGTGACGAGAGCTTTCAGAAAATGTATGACATCATAGGGTTTTTTCAACTTCAGCTCGAGTTATCGCCTCCGAAGCGCCGGAACACTCAAAAAAGACCCCTTATTTTTTCACGTTTGGGCCGATTTAAAAAAAAGCCATTTTTTTATCTTGATGAAAAACTGAAATGTTGTTCCTGACTCTCTGTAGCCCCTCTACCTCTTTACCGCATGCTGGGGAAATGTTTTGGTCGCGAGTTATAAGAGCGGAATGGAGCGAAGGTCGGGAAAATCGGCTATTTTAAACTGCGCGCGCGGCGTTGATCGGAGGGAAAACGTCCCCTCCCACTCAGGTCGGCGAATCACACTCCTCTGCCGACCTCGCATTGTTGCCACATGTCTCCTGATCCGTCGCCGCGCGCAGTTTAAAATAGCCGATTTTCCCGACCTTCGCTCCTTTCCGCTCTTATAACTCGCGACCAAAACATTTCCCCAGCATGCGGTAAAGAGGTAGAGGGGCTACAGAGAGTCAGGAACAACATTTCAGTTTTTCATCAAGATAAAAAAATGGCTTTTTTTTAAATCGGCCCAAACGTGAAAAAATAAGGGGTCTTTTTTGAGTGTTCCGGCGCTTCGGAGGCGATAACTCGAGCTGAAGTTGAAAAAACCCTATGATGTCATACATTTTCTGAAAGCTCTCGTCACGCTGAATGCGCTCGTTTAAACCGCGTTTTCCAAAACTTCTTGGTTTTCGAGTAATAAATTCGCGAAAATTTTGCCGGTTTTTAACTTTGACCCCCCGCTGCGTCTCCCCAAAATTTTTGGAGGGCTTGAAACTTTGAGGAAAGATGGGGCTTTGTTAGGTGAATGAATAGGGCAAGTCTCAAAAGTATCCTCCCCGAGCCCCAAATGGCCCGTTTTGCACGTAGTCCTTTGATACTCTTTAACGTCGTTTTTCTGCAAGATGCATCTTCGGCACAGGCAATAAAAATCCTATAAAACATTTGTGAATTTTTGGGGGAACTCAAACTTAGGAGGAAAATATAGTTTTCCCAATAAAATAAAAGGAAGTGGAAAGAACCTCTGGCGTGTTCTGGTGAATTTAATTTGTGAATTTTTCCATAAGATCAGGGAATAAAATAATTATTCTTCTTTTGACAGGTGATAGCTCCAACTGCTCTAGCTTCATATGTCGAAAATGTCTGGGTTCCGAACAAGTTCCGCCGCGAGAAACCTCATTTGACAGAGGCTCTATGGCTGTTTTGCGGGGCTCACGGCATGCGAGTCTGGTTGCCTTTGTTTCCGAAGGAAGGGGATAATTCTCATACTTTCATGTCGAAGAGAATCATGCTACCCTTTCACTTAAAAATCTACCCTCTTGGTAAGTGCAAAAGTATATCCAGCTAAAATTTTATTGTCTTTTCAACTAATTCTCTATGTACGTGGAAAAAAAAAACTAATGTACTATTAAATGGGGTAAAAATTAAAGTACCATAAAAAATTGATAGCAAAACTGCTGAAAGGTTTATCTCGGTTTGCAGAATTTTTGTACCTTATAACAAAAGCATTAAAGCAATTATCCTTCCTAATAAGAAAAGTAATTCTGATAATTACATGTTCTTTGGTAAAAAAAAAAGTAACTGTTTAAAGATTTTTGTAACTTAAATAGTGCTGAAAGCCTTAAAGATCTGGAGAGTTTGCTCTATTAATATTTTTGTTCAGAGTTATCCAGATTTTGCAGAAATTACAGATAATGTTCTGTCTTGTTTTGACTATTCGTTCATTTTGTATTTTTTTTCTTATTTTTCAGCTGTTCTTTTTGAAGATGCAATTTTGTTGGGGGCAGAAAACGACACCCTTCTCTACTCAACTGATGTTAAAACGCCATTTTCTTTTCCGTTTTGCCTCGTGGAAAGGACTGTAAGTATTTTTGAGAATTGATAATGTTCACTTTAATCCATGAGTTGACTTTCCACTGTGATACGTTTATTTATTTGGCTCCTTAATTGTGTCATTATCATGAGCATAGTAGAGAAGTAAAATATGACAATAATGCATTCTAATGAGAATGTCATACAAATGAAATCATCCAAGAGACCTTAGTTCATTGTAATGAAGAAATGAGTTCTTGATACCAAAGCATAGAAAAGTGTTTTACGAACACTCATGTTTACGTAAAAAAACATCCGAAAACGCCAAACTAAACCTAAGTTATAGCATTCATAAGTTTGCTTCTCAAAAAACTCGGTTTCAAAATGAAGCTATCCAAATCAAAATGAACCATTCATACAGATTGAAATGCAACTATACACCCTCCTTAAGAAATGAATTAACTAAACATCAATAATGAACATCAGAGAGAGTTTTCCATCGATCTCTCAAAATCCGATTTTTCAATGGAACATGACTAAAATCGCTCCACTGGAAATTAAACGTCCATGGACTAAGATCCTTTTCGTCTGGAAAGTCACAAACATAGACTCTTAACAGGGAAGGAGACTTCAATGTAGAAAGGTACATTTTTTAGGAGAACTTTTTTTCTCAGTTGAGTTCAAAATCGGAATTTCAGTTTTTGACAAAGAACTTTCTTCAGGATACCAGAGGTTGCATTGCAAACAATTAGTCCAATCTTTGTCAATAGACAGCTCGAAGTTGCTTTATAACCTACCAATCTTGGAGTTTGATAATGGCTTATTAAAGTTTGAATCTGTTTGCTCTTTGAACAATGTTTTCATGTAGATGCAAATTTCAGACTGTCCTAACTCTTTTGTTTTACATTTATGGGCCTTTTTTATGTTAAACGTAAAATACTCTTGTTAACAGCATCACCCATAACTTAAGTATAACTTTTCGAGTTTGAAGTTCCCTCTTCCTCTGGGACTATCACAAATGATGCCCCTTGAAATGCTTTGCGTAAACTGCTGATGATTCACAGACTTGGCCTGTTTTTTTTCTATGCATTTTTAAGAGCCGTTCGATGTCATTTTGAAAGAACTGTAAACTTATCTCCTAACAGAGCATTTTCAAGAAAAAACCTCATTAAATTATAGTCCATTTTTTGTGCAACTTTCCCTTTCTAATTAACTATTTTTTACTTCTCTGTTCCCAATTTTCAGAGTCAAGTATACCTGCACCAGATTTTAAGACAGTTGATTCGCAGAAATCTAGGCTTTCATGCCTGGGAGATAGCTCGTTGTTGTACAAATTTGCCATATTTTCCTCATTGTTTAGAGCTTCTTCTCCATGAGGTATGTTTAGAAGTTTACCTAATTGTTATTTATTAACTCTGTTGATTGCGTAGGGCTGTCACGAGAGTAAACTGTTACCCTTGCAAACAGTAGCTTCGCCGTACCTTCTCCTTCCTTCATTCAGGTTGCAATTTTAACATTTATCTTACAGTTTTCCTTGAGGAGAGTGAAGGATTCATCTGTAAAATTGAAATTCTGTCAAATTAACCTCCAATAAATTGAAGTTACTCTATTCAGTTTTTGTGCTCTTTGCGGCAAATTTGCAATATTGCAAGTGCAGTTTTTTTGACCAAGTCTTATCTAGAATATTTTTTACGTACTTTTTTCTCCATGATTTTTCGAAGAGAACAAGTTGCAAACGGAAAGTTTGAAGTAAAGAATGAAGTCAAATTTTTAATGTTTACTGTTGACATTGCACAAGCACAAAATAATTAAAAACTAACTGAATAACTAATTAGACAAGTAGTAAAATAACTAATTTGCTCAAATGGGAAATATTGTCTGTTTTTTCCAATCAACAAGTGATAGGAGTTCAATTCTGCCATGCTAAGGAAGAACGGCGTATGAACATTCGAGAGTTGCCAAATTTCCTTCGATAAAATGTTAATTTTTAAGGAAAGTTATGAATATTTTTCCTTGAAATTTTCAGGAGCTTCAGGTGAAATTGCAAAAAATATTATCTGAAAAATTGGAAGAAAAATATTTATAAATTTGCCAGAAAATTCGTGTTTTAGATGTGGAAATTTAGCAACGCCTGACGGTTTATATGGCGTTTTTCCTTAGCACGGCAGAATTGCCAATGGGATTTGTTGGAATTTTTAATGAGACAACAAACTTGTCTGCTTACTAATTAGAAGTTTTTTTTTTTTTTATTGCTTGATTTTCCTTTCAGTTGTTTTCCTTTTTTAATTTGAAGTCATGTTTAATATAATTTATTATTCATTAGGTCTTGGAGGAGGAAGCAACCAGTAAGGAACCAATTCCTGATGCTCAACTACCTAGTATAATAGAATTCATTCAAGAGTTCCCCGTTTATCTTGAGACCATTGTTCAGTGCGCTCGGAAAACGGAAATTGCTCTCTGGCCATACTTGTTCTCAGCTGCTGGGAAACCGAAAGATCTCTTCCAAAAGTGCCTAACTCTCAAACAGCTCGAAACTGCAGCCTCTTATTTGATTATTCTGCAGGTAATTATTGCTAAAGAGCTTGATCTAGCTACATTATTTTTGAACAAGTATACGTGGTATATTGCCTATTTTGATTGGTCTGACCCCTGACTGAAACAATGTATCAAATCAAATCCTTCAAGTGCACATGGGAAATTAAGTAGTAGGGCAGGTGGGGAATCTTGTCAAGCTGGTCAAATAGTTACTAATATCAAAATATGGAGTGCACTATTGTAGCAGCTGGGAAAATCAAATATTTTAATAGTATATGAAAGTATACTTATATAACTTCCAATTAAAAGATTCTATTTTTAATAAAATATGTGTTAAATACAGCTACAGTAAAACTTCGATTTAACGAATTTCTGGGGACTGGCGTTAAAATTAGTTAAATCAAAACCCAAGGAAAACCAGATTTTAGGCCACAATTGTTTTTGGAAATATTCGGTTACTCCAGTCTCCTGTACACTCCCCCCCCCCTTTTAACCCCAACAATATTTGGAAAATTGGCAGGGGGAAAAATATGAAACAAGATTATTACAAACATGCTTTTCCCAGCGTTGTTGTCGGGCGCACGGAAATTTCTATGCATTTGTTAAACAGAGTTTAATTTACATGATAAAGATTGTACCTGGACCGAGGATTTTCTTCATTAAACTGAATATTCGTTAACCCAAAATTCGTTAAATAGAATTTAATTTACACTGAAAAGATAGAATTTTTTTCGGAACCGCATTAAAATTCGTTAATTCGAAGTTTTACTACATTTTGAATCTTATTACAGTAAATGTTAACAACTTAAAACCCAATTGAAAATTAAACGGAAAACCAATGAGATAAAAACATTACCACCTATAAAAGCTATTAAATTTAGTACTTATCAATACCAAAATAAATCAAACTTGCTCAAATTATTTTTTTTAAATTAAAACACTATATTTTCATTATAGGAATATTAGAATACCCAGAGTTGGTATTTTCTACAGTTATTTTTCTAAAGTTTAGCTAACTTTGATCGGAATCAAGTCATCTTAAAGAGCAGATACGGGTGATTGACTGATTGCATACTGACTTTCGTGCCCTAATCTGCAGTACCTTTGTAGTTTTCGAGAGAATTGGGGTACTTTTTTTTCTTTAGTGTTAAAATTATTTTAATCAAGATTTTTTATTACTTCCTTTTGCGAAATAGTTAAAATCTGTATCTGTTTTTTTTCCTATCCAGAATTTGGAGTCATCCTTGGTCAGTCGGCAGTATGCAACACTGCTGCTTGATGCAACTTTAGATGAATGCAGATGGGAACTGTCAAAAGATCTTGTAAGATTCCTGAAAGCAATAGGTAAGTATTGTTCATGTATGCGATGACCCATTTACAAGAAGAAACTTATATCTCAAAGCTTATAATATGAGTAAAAAAAATTGTTATCACGTGAAACATATCATTTCTTGGGATTTTCAAGAGTGTTTCCCATCAAAAACTCAAATTCCACTTGTTCAATCCAACTTAAAAACAAGAAGAAAAATCAACATGAATATGTTTGAAAAGCATGCCGAGTAACTGAAATATTGCACACATACCTATTATTTTCACATCTTCGCTATTTGTATCAATTGGTACTTTTTACTAAAGGGAGGAACTATTGATTCATGAACGTCGAATATAAATTAATTTTAAAGATTCTGTCCAATTATCTTGATTTTAAGCTGATATGCGGCATTTACGCATGACCATGATTCGGGTGAACTGCCATGCATCGAAATCGTGTTAAATTAATCTCTTTGGATTTCGAACTGTAACTTCTCTCCTATTCGGCCGATTTTCACTAATGAGGTCTCTTTTTATTTATATTTTAATGGAGAGTAAGGAAAAACTTGCTAAATAGACAGAAAACAATTTTTGTGAAAATTTGGTGGATCCTGGCGTCATGGTGAATGGTTAATCGGGCGTGAAAAATAAGGTTTAATGGCGGCGAAGCAACCCTCGCCTCGCCGTCTTTTATTGCCTTGCTCGAAATCGGACACCCAAAGCGATATTGGGAGATAACTGCAGTGGCTACGGTTAGCACATGGTATAATGAGTCACGAGGCTCATCACAGATTGCACTTATAGCGCAAGATGCTCATCGGCTAAAAAGTTTTGGCGGGAAAGAAGCTACTAGAGTTGAGTCCTCCGAGCGTAGAAAAGCTTATATGAGGTTACTGTCAAATGAAATAATACGGTTCCGACAGGAAAATGTTTTCAAGGGTTTCCAATTAGCAGTTCATTCGGTTTTTTGGTAAAAGACCATCAGGGTTTGACAGTATAATGGTTTATAGACAAAAAACGGGCCCGAGGAAAAAAACATTTGGACGGCCCATTGAATAGCATTGGTTGATCAGTGTGCTGTACTATGGTACATTCAGAGACCTATATGTTAAAAATTTCTTATTTAATCAGTTCATCGTTCAACACCGCAATGGGCCGCCTTTGCGTTTGCGTTCGGGATATGGAACCCGAACGGAATAGGCTCCTAATGAGTTTGGGTTTTCGATCGTGAACCGTTCGCGGAAAGGTCTCGGTCGGGTTCTCGATCCCGAACGCATTGTCAATCGAATCGGTTCGAAATTCGGAACTCGAACTAATAAGCGGCCGACTGCGTTCGAGTTCAAATAACTCATACCAAAGACCTGACCATTGCGATCATTTCAGCTATGCTAATGCCATAACTCATAACGCCGATTTTCGTTATGCGTTACAGATCTAGAACCTCGCTCAGCTCCGTAGCGTTCAGAGTTCTTCTATGCCGTGCGGCCGTTGATGTTCTGCATCGCCCCCCCCCCCCTCGTCACTCACCCCGCTTCACGCTGCCCGCGGCCCGCTGTTTTCCTAGTGCATGCCGCGTTTGGGTTTGGGTGGATCACCTTTTTACCTGTAGACATTTTTATTAGGACTGTTTTCGTTCCCACCCCCATAACTCGTTCCATTCCGCTTAAAAATGACTCAGTGAAAAAAATTAGCTTCATGGGAACATTTTAAGCTTTGCCTACTCAAGGGTTTAGTCGCTTATACCCAAAATAATGGTTCCCACGGAGGGACATTAAAAAAGCACTGCAAAAAAATCATTTTTGTCTTATTGATTTAAATTTCTTGGGTGCTTCGCATCTACTTCTTAAGGTAGAATGCATATATGATAGCCATTTTTTGCTACGACATCAGATTTTTTTTTTTTAAAAAAAAATTGAAATTTTCCTTGAAAATCGCGATTTCTTAATGAAAATTCAAATTTCAAAAAACCATTCGTGTACTTGGAAAGGAGCAAGAGAGTATGTAAATAAGACACCATAACAGCATCAGTTGCATGTAAATACTATATCGAAGGCTGAAGTACTGAACCCTTCATCTCCGTTGCTGTGTTTCAAAACATTTGCTCTCATTTTGTTTATTTACTTTTTTTTGGAGAGAAATAAGCCAACCATACTAGCTTGAAATTTCTAGAAGTTTCAACGATTCAGAAGTTCAACGATAGCTAGAAATTTCTAAAGCACTATGGAGAAGAAAAATTACGGCAGTTTTCGAGACATTAAGTTGACAAGTTTTTCGATTAAAAATCAAGTATATAAAGAGAAGTCTGCAACGTCGCTAACGGACATACGT